CCGACGCATCGCGGCTGCGGGAGCCGTCCAAGACCTTTAGACAAACAACCGCTCACTAGGCACCACCGAACAGCCATGCGTACAGTACACTAAAAAAGGTACCAATCTCCATCGTCTGCGGAGCCGGGCAGTCTTCACGCTACATTGACTCTCCGCTAAGCTGATCATGATTGGGATCCTGAAGTACCACAACCCCCACCACCCACCATCCCCGCCGCCTGTGAGATGAGCTGTCGAACAGAACACTCGCCGCAGAATGAACATTTAGCCTGGTACCCAGTCTCTCACCTACTTTACCTCTGAGCACTTACGACTCTATTCGACTTCACCGCGCCTTTGCGCGTGCCCCCCGACCTTCCAGATCCACTCGCCCGGAGTGCACCGCCATTTCACATCTGCAAGCAGCAAACCGTCCGGACATCTATGCTTTCGGTGCGCCTTCGTCGCACCTGAAAGAAGGTTGGCTGCGTTGACCGCCCGCCCGTACGTCGGACTCGCCAACGACAACACGCCCATCGCCCATAAAATCTCGCCACCACCCTGAACTTTCCGACTTCGCTAAATTGATCGCGTGAAAAAAGGCTCAACCAGCGGCTGAAACTGCGTGTGCAATCTTGCCGTCTTCTCAACGCCATGAGATGGCTGCAACCACCACCTCTGCTAACACCATCGAGATCGGCGGCAACGAGTTGTCTTCCAATGGCAATGGCCTGCCCAGATCCCACCGGGCCTCTTCGGAATGTTTCCCGAACGCTCGCGCTTCGCGATCCCCGATATACGGGACAACGTGACAGGTAACAGGTTTCTTGTAAGTTACCGCTGTGAACCGCCGCCCCCTGAGTACCGGCATCTGCGCCCCGGGCGGGCCAATTCCCACTTGGTCTCGTTTGGGTCGGCTCCCAGCCAGGAGAGTCGACGGGTCCCCGGTGAAATCCATCCCGTCTGGTCCCGTCTGGTCGGGAGTTTGATTACATATTGCTGCGTGGTGGGGGAACTTTGGGGCCTTTGGAGCCAGTCCAAGGCAAGGAATACAACCTCTGCAGCTCCAGCTTCGAACACGATCGTTCCATCTGGCTCGGCTCGAAGGCCAGGGGAACAAGGTAGCACCGGGCTTCGCCGGCCAGCACCGGGCTTGGATCACCTCCGATCTTGGTTTTTGCCCACCAGTTCAGCCCCGGGAGCCAAGCCCACCGCCGTCCGTCCAACGCAAACGCTATTCGTACCGGTGCGACCACCACCACGCTGGACCCCTGCCGCCGCCCGTCCAGAAGTGTTCCATAGTGTAATTTGCTCTTTCGACGCCATTGTCAATAATGGCCGTCTCTCCTGGTCTCCCCAACGGGCCTCGACTTGTCTGTCCACCTGCTGAACCCTCGAATGGGGCAACTGGCAATCTGCTTCAGGTCGACCTCAATTTTCCCGGTGCAGGGGTGGGCAAAGGAAACGAAACACAATTGGCGAAATGTCATCGAAAGCCCCCCCTGGAAAAGCAACGAAAATAGTTTATGCTGCACCTGAACCCCCAAATTCGCACCTCTTAAGGTGACCTATGCAGTATGGTTGTCAACAGACCACCATCAAATGAGGCTCCCTCATGCGTCCCACGTGGGGGCAGCCCAGCCGTCCTGCTTCGAGCTTGTGTACACACGGCCAAGGGACCGCCCTTGTGGTTGGGCTGAAGTTCCAGGGTCTAGACGAAGATGAATGGGGTAATTGTTTTTGTTTTTTTTTTGCTTATCGTATATTTCTCGCTGTTTCGCTAGGCTGCTTCGTGGCTCAATCGTCAAAAAACATGCATGTATCCGTACCATAACGCCGAATAGCCATCCACCACCGGCCGACGCCCTCTCAGTTCGGCCTCCCAGGGGTATAATCACACTCGAGCTGCAGCCTTGCCCGACGCAGCCAGTCTCATTTCTTCTTCTGCAGCTTTTCCTTCTCCATATTCTCCGAGCACACGGGGCAGAACCATGTCCCATTAGGCTCGCTCTTAAGGCCGACGCATGACCAGTGGAACCACTCATAAGGGCAATCCTCATTGTCGCACGCCACCATGTCGCCAAAGCTGACATTTTGACACGTGCAGTACTTTTTGTCGTCGCCGGCCTCGTCATCTTCGGCGTCGAGCATGCTGTCGTCCCCGTCCCCGTCTTTGCCGTCACGCGCTGGTGTACCGCTTGCCCGGTCTGCCCTGCTACGGTCGCCGTCATCGCCACTACCACTCTCGGCATCCGACAACTCGCTGTCTGCTGTCGACGCCGGAGAGTTGCGGCTCCCTGCCTTCTTCACGCGGGACAACGACGACTTGTTGCCATTGGCAATGCTGCCCTTTTTGCGGTTTGCGGCGCCAGGTGTTCCTTTCCTGATGCCAGACACGCTGGCAGCCTTGGTTGATGACGACCGCGGCCCGGCGCTACCAGCCCGCACAGCACCGCCGGGGCCCGGGTTCGTGGCTCCTTTCGGAGTGCCCGGGCCGAGCGAGGAATGCCTCGCCAGCCCGCTCGAGGTCGCCGGCAAGCTGCCCAGTCCGGAGTTGGACCGCGGGCCCCTCTTAGGCGCGCCGCTTCCTGGCCCTGCCGAGCTTTCTCTTGCCTGGCGGTTCATTATCATGCTGGCGGCAGCCGGTGTCGCGGGTGCTGAGGAGGCATGTTGCTGCGATATTGTGTTGCGAACCTGCGGGTTGCCGACTCGCACGGTAGCGGGGCTCGACGAGTTGACAATCGGGTTCAACGGGGTCGCGGTAATGGCGCCGGCAAGGTGGCTCGCCGGGTTGACGGCCCGGGTGGACGGAGCTGAATGGTTTGCCGCGCTTGGGCGTAGCAGCGACGGACACTCGTCTGGATCGGTGAACCCAGGCTCGCTTCGGTCGTAGAGCATCTTGATGTGCTGGTCCAGGTTCCGCAGATGCTTGTCCATGATGAGCTGCAACTTCTGGGTCAGGGCGATCTTCTCGGTGGCCAGCTGGTCGGCGCGCATATAGTTCTCGCGCATCTGTGTCCTCATGCCGTCCTCGCGAGGGTTCGTCTCGTGGCTCCCGTTCGCCTTGATCCATTTCTGTATCTTCCCATCGCGGTCCTCGATCAACTTGACGCAGTCGCCGTACTGCCGGTCCTTGTCGGCGATTTCATCTTGCAAGAACCGGATCTCTTCGGGGAGGTTCTGGACGCGGTTGATCCAATCGTCGAGGATGATGGCCGGGTCGAGAGCCTCGGCTGCCGGCATCCTCTTGACGAAGTCGATGGACAGGTCGTCTCTAGGCATCTTGAGTCAACGATGCGCTCTAAGTATGCAGAAGCTGACGTAGGCAACAGAGCGAGGCAACAAAACGGCGGAGGCGGCGATGATGTGCTTAGACAAGGGCGCAGGGAAGGGCGGCGGCAGGTGGTGGGATGAGCGCGCAGTGGAGGTGCTCGCCAAGCGAGGCAGCGGCGAGTATTAGGACGGCCGGAAGCAGGCAATGTGGAGGGCAACGACTGAAGGAAGGTAAAGAGTGGTGAGACCGTCGTGACCCAAGGCCATCAGAAGAAGGAAGAAAGGAGATAAGATAGATAGGCAGGGCAGGTGCGGAGTAGAAGTAGAGCAAAGGCCCAACAGTAAGGTAGGCAAGTGGGAATAGTGGCACGCAGTATGCCGGTGATGGCGCGGCAGCAGATCGGGGACCGTCGTGTGGGCTGACCGGCGGAGGTTCAGGGCCACAGTCGACGAACCACAAACTACGGGCCGCGATCACGATGTGCGTGATCTCAGTATACCGCAGTTGAAGACAGTGTGAAGGGAGGGACGATAGCAAGAATCGCGCTGCCAGGAGCGTCGACGACAACGGAGTGCTTAATGACTGGCTTGGCTCACCTGGTTGAGGTTGGACCGACGGGCAGTCGACGGAGGCTCCAGACCAAATCCAGATCACACGCAAGGCAAGGCAAGGCAGAGGCAAGGCGGAGCGAGGCGAGTCGCGGCGACGGTCGGGCCCTGCCTGTGATCCCGGAATGTTTTTATTAAATAATACGTCCCTGCCGGGAAAGCGACGTGAATTTTTTTTCGACGCGCGAGGGTGGGGTTGGAAGAGGCTGGAATCACGTTTGTGGTTCCAGTTGCGGGTGTGTGGTGCGGTGCGGTGCGGTGGCAGCTCTGGGTTTCTGTGAGGGAAATCGGCAGGTGCGTGTCGCGTTGGGTTTGGTGGCGGGCAAGTTTGCGAACTCGTTCCTCCAGTCCAGGGCATTGAGCCAGTAAGCTGAGACGGGACGAGACTGGCGGAGACGGGAGTTTTAGCCTCCGACTGCCACACCTTTGGGCTTTGGCACGGAGCCTGTGGACATGTTCCATTGGGCAATGCATGTTTTAAGCGGGTCGGCGGTGCCTTTGAAGGCACGTACCTCATCAAGTGGGCAAGAGCCTGCATCCTATTTTTGCTGAGTCGTCTTCCTATGCAAATACTGCGTACACACAGCAGGCTGCGTACTCTACTTCTAGGTACTGTCATGTGGCATGCAAAAATCATGAGAGGAAAACTCTGGACAGGCTCCAAAGGTGCATGCATCTTTTGCACCTCGGGCATCCGGAAGGAACCAGAAACCTCAAGTTTGAGCCACACCGAGGCTGGTGCCCAAAAGCAGCTAGCCACTCTGGGTAGAGTGTCTTCAACCACGCCACACCAGCTTGGTGCCCTGGGCTCGAGCTGCCTTAGTGGCCAGTAGCGGCTCCGTCCCAGACGCCTGTCATATCTCATCCAATGGAACCTTCACTCATCGAGCCTTTCGACGAAATCTCCCATTCGCATCGCAAAACAACAACGACACCACGGAATGATAGTCTAGCTTTTTCAACACACGCGTTTTCTCCAAGAATCACGCACGTCTCAGACAAGATCTTACCCGGATCTCCCACGCGCAACCTTGCCACATTGTCAATTTGTCAGTCTTGAACATTGCAAAGCATCACAGCCAGCACCAGGGCCCAATCTCGGGAGCCTCGGCGGTACAGCCGTCACCTTCGCCTTCATCATGGACGCAAACGCCTACAGATTTCGTGCACCGAAGCCTAATTATCTTCCCCATCGGGCCGACAAAGACGACATTGTCGAGGAGTACACACCTCTGGGCAAGGCTAGCGAGCTCGATGAAGCCAGGTATCTTAACAAATGCAAGCGCACCGCTCTCGAATCGGGCATCACCCGCCCCAAAGGATACACCGTCTCCTTCCACTGCAACCCCGAGATGGAGAAGCATCACTTTGGGCAGACCCATCCCATGAAGCCCTGGCGCCTCACCCTATCAAAAAGTCTCATCTACTCCTACGGCATGTCCTTCGCCATGGACAACTACATTGCCCGCGCCGCCACTTATGAAGAGCTTAACGATTTCCACTCCGACGACTATCTGGACTTTCTGGGCACCGTCCTTCCTGAGCCTGTCCCGCGGGATGTTGATAACGCCAACCCCGATCTCAAGTTCAACCTCGGCGGCTCCGACTGTCCCCTCTTCGAGGGTCTATACGACTACTGCTCCATGTCAGCAGGCGGCTCCCTCGATGCCGCGCGAAAGATTTGCGCCCAGCAGTCTGACATTGCCGTGTCCTGGGGAGGCGGTCTTCACCATGCAAAGAAAGCCGAGGCGTCTGGCTTCTGTTACATCAATGACATCGTCCTTGCCATCCTGCAGCTGCTACGCTGCTATCCCCGCGTTCTCTATATTGACATTGACGTTCACCACGGAGACGGCGTCGAGGAGGCTTTCTACTCCACCGACCGTGTCATGACGGTCTCGTTTCACAAATACGACCCTCTCAACTTCTTCCCCGGCACCGGCGGTCTGGATGACAACGGGCCGAAGAATGAGCACAACCCAGGTGCCCACCATGCCATCAATGTGCCCCTCAACGATGGAATCACAGATGAGCAGTACAAGTGGCTCTTTGAGAATGTTATCGGTCAATGCATGGAAAAGTTCCGACCAAGCGCTATCGCCCTGCAATGCGGTGCCGACTCTCTCGCCGGTGATCGTCTGGGTCGCTTCAACCTGCAGGTGCAAGGACACGGCGCCTGCGTCGAGTTCTGCAAAAAGTTCAACGTACCCATGATCCTCTTTGGAGGTGGCGGATACACGCCAAGAAACGTGGCTCGCGCGTGGGCCTTTGAGACGAGTATCGCCATCAACTGCCAGGACAAGATCGATCCCATCATTCCGACGCACGCTCCTTGGAGAGAGCAGTTCAGATATGAGGAGCTTTTCCCGACCCTCGAGCAAATCTTGGGCGAGCCGCGCGCGAACCGCAACCCGCAAAAGCGACTGAACGACCTCGTTCAGCATGTGACGGAGCAGCTGAGGTTTGTCCAGGCAGCTCCGAGCGTGCAGTATCAGGTTATCCCGCCCGATCTGGGCGGTCTTAGGGAAGACGTCGAGGAAAAGCTCAAGGAGGAAAGGGAGGCCGAGAACGACAGCATCAGAAAAGCACGCGAAGAGGCCGTTGGTTCAGCCATGGAGTATTAAACAACCACAGGCAGGGCTATGCTTGAGGTCATTGGAACTTCGCGTAGCCCATGACGGCGTTGGGGGCGTTTCATGATACCGTAAAGAGTTGTCTCTCGCAACGAAATATACCATTCTGTTCGAAATGACCGTCTTTTTCTTTTTGCCTCTCTAGCCCAACCACATCCATTTGTGGGCTTTGCGACACCGAAAATCTCCAACAACACGTGCAATACCTGCGGAGAGCGATTCCACATCGACTGCATAAGGCGCGGTGTTGAGCAATAATTGTGCTTCGGAATTCGATTTATTACGTTACGGCCAACGCAAGGGGTGTGAGCACTTTTGCGGTGTAACGTGCCAAAAGCCGGCGTCTCATTCGATCTTATTTGGCTGCCTAGAGCGACGCATCCACCGCCGAACACGATCGGAAAACAAGTCCAGCTGCCGCCCCATCTCCAGCCAAAGTTGAACGCGGAGACGCAGGAATTGCCCAATCACACCGCACCTCTCAATGAGCACTTAAGCTTAATCCCAGCTCCGTCATGCGATGGGCCTGCAACGGGGCACCGATATTGAGTTGGACAGGAGAAATTTTGTTCGGGACGGATCCTGGTCGTAGCCCATTTCTTACTCCCCCGGATACGATGACCTACATGCGGCTTAGTCCATGCTTGGAGTGACATCGCCGCACCCTCGAGCCGCACGGCATGCCCGCCCTCATGGCACATATCAGATGGCACATTGGCAAGAAAAGCATGGCTGTATGCTGACGAGCCTGTTGCTTTACCTTTGAGCGGTCGCATTGAGAGACATTTGAGTATCCCGCCCGGCCAAGGACCCAAGACTGTGACGGCGAAGGATTCTGTGGCGCGGTCTGACCAGAATCGTCAACTCGTTTATTGTCTCAGGGGGCATGTTACTCTTCTGCCTGATTTGACCCATCCACTCCAATTGCATATATTAACTGACGGCACATCCCAACTCCCAACATTGGCCGGTACGCCAAATTATCAGTCTTATTCCCTCCACGACAAGATGGTTCTCTCCAGACTCTCCCTCCTGGCTCTGGCGCCGGCCGGTATCCTCGGCCTCGCCACGCCGTCAGCCGGTCTCAGTCGCCGCGCAGTTGACTGGAGCAAGTGGAAGCCCGGCGTGTCGTTCCAGATCATCCTCCACGAACCCATCAAGCACGACAGCACCGCCGACATCGTGCCCGCCAACGCCGATGTATGGGATATTGACCTGCAGCATGCCGATACCTACCGGGACATGATTCCCACTCTCAAGGTGAACACTCTTCCCTTCGAGCTCACCCCAAAGGGAACATATTGACTAATCATAATCGCAGGCTGCCGGGAAGATTGTCATCTGCTATTTCAACGGCGGTGCAGTCCAGGACTGGGACAACGATATCGCCGAGTTTCCGGACGAAGCTATCCAGAAGCCCCTCGAGGGTTACCTGGATGAGAGGTACCTCGACATTAGGAACAGCAAGGTCGTCGACGTGATGAAGGCGCGTCTCGACTTGGCCGCAAGCCTCGGTTGCGACGGTGTCGATCCCGACAACATTGATGCTTGGGCTCAGGTAAGCACTGAAATGTTGCCCATGTGGAGAGAGCACCATATCTAACCAGACATAAAAAAGGACGACGAGGACCCCACAGGTTTCAACCTCAAGGCTTCCGACTACACCTCGTACCTCAAGGCTCTGGCATCCCACGCCCACTCCCTCACCACGCAGGAAGGCCGAGCCCTCATGATTGGCCAAAAGAACGCCCCCGAAATCGCCCCGGACCTGGTTTCCACCGTCGACTTTGCCGTCCTCGAGACGTGCCTGGGCACCCGCACCTCTGACGAGGTCGAGCCTTTCTGCTCCGAGTTCCAGCCCGTCATCGCCGCCGGCCATCCCGTGTTTCAGATCGAGTACCCGCTCAGCGTCAGGAACGGTGTCTCCATCAGCCAGGTCGACTATAATTACTTCTGCGTCAACAAGAACGGCAACGAAGGGTTCAGCGAGGTTATCAAGCACGCAAGCGAGCAGGTTGACGGCTGGGGACAGTTTTGCGGCTTGGGCACGACGGGTGGTCGTTTCGAGACACCCACTTTTGATGGATAGGATGGAACAGCATCAATGGCTGAGGCGGACCAAGGCTTGACGAATGAGGATGACTAAATCATGATTTAATTTCTGTACCTACTTTTCTCGCACACGAAAGAACATACGAGACAACTCTTCATATGTTGACAAATTTCCTCGACACCTACAGGCCATGCGATGATACAAAAGCGCAAATGAAGCAAACGATATTTCACAGAAACCATACGTCATGAGCCCTATCATCAGCTGTAGTCAACCGCCGATTCGGCTTCCTGTTCCAGCATTTTCCGCTTCAGCCCCCTCGCCCTAAGAGCAACGTATCCAACCATCATGATACCAACGGCAAAGCCGGCCGAGAGCAAAATGACATTGACAGGAACGGGATCTCCTCCGAACGTCTCGTGGAACAGGACATCCAGGCCTGACTGGAAGAAGTTGAACAGGCCGGAAAGGCAGATGATGGTGCCGTACACGGTGCCAAACGTCTCGAAGCCAAAGACCTTGGCGGTGTAGTCCGATACCGCAGTGTAGTAGAACGGGCGGTAAAGCACAAAGAGGCAGATCTGGATGTATGCCGCCCAGACGTTGTTGATGACGCCCAAAACGCCAATGGTTGTGGCAATGGTCACGAGGGCAGAGAGCACTGTGACGGTGCTCGTGTGGTCAAGGAGCACCCCGATAAACGGGATAGACAAGATGCCTCCAACAGGCAGGGCAATGTCGAAAAAGTCGTTGATTTGGACGGCCTTGTCGTGGTCTCCAAAAATGACCTCGTACTGTGACCTGATGGTGGCCACGAAGTAGTTGATACGGAGCATCTGGATGACGGTGAACAGGCAGATGAGGATGAACCAGGGAGACGAAATCTGCCTCAGAGCCGTCCGGTTGTGCATTACGCCCCAGACTCCCGAAATCTCGTTCTTCTTCGCCTCGTGGCGCGGCTGCTTGCCCGCCTTCTGGGCGCCGATGAGTTGCTCAATGTCAGCCACGACGGAGTCGCGGTGCTGGCGGCGCTCCTCGCGGAGCAGGGCCGTGGTCTCGTCGACCTGGTCATCGTACGGGCTCGGGTCGGCATCGCTGGCCGCCGCAGCCTCCTCTTGTTGTTCAACCAATTCTCCAACCGTCTTGTACGACTGCTTCGGCATAAGCGTGAGCTGGAAAACGATGATCAACACCGGCACAATCAGGTACACCATGAAGAACTTGTCATGGCCGAATGTGCCGTCGGTTGCTTGGAAGATCAAGCGATACACTAGGAACAGGGCGCTCGAAGCGTCAAAGGCGCCCGTCAAAAGGGCGAGGATGAGGCCCGAGTGCCTGGGGAAAGCATTGGAGAGCTGGAAGGATGAAATGTACGTAAACGGGCCTCCAAGCGCAAGCGATAGGTATCCGATCAGGAAAGCGTCGAAAGGCAGCCGCTTGGCGTATGCCATCAGAAGAGAGCCCAGAATCAGAAACATGCTGCCAATGATGCCGCATACTCTGGGGCCGAAATGGTCGAGGATGGCGCCGACTGGTAGGGCAGCAACGTTGGTACCGACAGCTGCCACCGTGAACATCAGGTTAAGATGGATCTCGACGCAGGTGTCGTCCGGGGACGCGCTGGGATCATCGGCGGAGCAGATGTCGCTGTAAGCACCTTCACGCTTGAGGACCGGCTTCAGCGCTGCGAAGCCAAAGGCGACACCGGCGGCAAACAGACAGTAGACAACAGAAATGGCAACTTGGACTGTGCGGGCGGTCAGCGGCTGCTTCTTCCAAGAGACAAGTGTTACCTGTCGTCGGCTGGGTGCGCATGTAAGCGAGCAAGGTGCGGAACTCACGGATTCTCTTCCATTGTGGAACCTCAAAAGCTCCAACAGCGTGAACGGTGTCGGGCTTGGCTGCGGCAGGATCCCACTCGTCGGGCAGAGGGTTGAAGCTCAGCCTGCCGGCCCGTACACTGGAGGCATCGCTACCTCGCCTCGACCTCTGGCCTGGGGGAAGGAATTGGAATGTCTCGACGGAGGCCACGCGGTTCAGCGACATGGCGACGATTGCTGCGCCCGGAAAGCAAAAGCTTTCAAGACGATGAAGAATTCCCAGCGAGCCTCGACTGTCCGTGTGAGGCGCTCTTCGTGAACGGCGCCTATATCTGGAATGCGACCAGAAGCCGGTAGGCTGCCGCTGTGTCACTGACGGCAACTAGGTTTATCGTGGCTGAGCTGTCTTGCGAACTGTCGGGCTAAAGATGCGGGGTGAAACAGGGATTCCGCTGTCTAGGTGGCACAAGGTGGAACACGATCGTGGGACCAGGCGAGGAAGGGGGAGAGGTTACTGAAGAAATAAGTAGGTTGCCGGTCGGCCAGGGGAGAAAAATTCGACGTTACGCGTGAAGAGGAAAAGGTTTCTCGGAGGAGGAGAGCAGTCAGGTGGCAACGACGAGAAGCTCCGGAAGGGTGGGGGCCGATGGTTAAAATCCTTGCGAGAGCTACTGCAATGCGATGCAATGCAATGCATGCTTGGAGAAATTCAACTGGGGCCAAGGGAATGAAAAGGTGGAAGAAGACTGAGGTGGACAATGGCAGCAGAGAAATAGATTTGCCAATGGCAAGGTGTAAGCTGAACTACCCAAGGCGTCATCAGCGAATCCAGATGCATTGCTGCCCGCGTTTCTGGTGTTGCTTTCCCCTCACTTGCACCTATTGCATGGCCCTTGCTCCCGCTCTGTTTAGCCTGGACTTGATCAGACGCTGCGCTTGGCCTGCCCAGCGCTGCTCCCCTTGTGCGGGCTGTGTTGAGGGGGATTGTCACGTCCAAACAACCGCTTGGGATGACGAACACGCGCATGGATGAATGGAAGATGGATCACTTCGTCATGTGGTCTCCAACACAAGACGGTCCGCATGGGCCCGGCCGGCTCGGCTGTGGCTTGACGATTTGGAGATTTGGAGATCCATTGTCTTGCTGGAGAACAGATGAATTAGATGCCCAACCCGTGCCCAGCTGCCAACACAGGCGCCGTTCGCCGATGGCCTGCCGGTCCGGCTGGGACATCAGGGAGAAGGAGAAAAATTCGAATTGTTCCTTGTGTACCGGCGTCGTTCCCTGCTGGACATACAGGTAAGTGGACGGGGCAAACCAACGGCGGCAAGATGGTGGGCTTGCAGTGTGGAAGGCGACACCCATGCCTTCCGGAGCGGATTCTCCACCGGGCGCGCAGCCAGCGGCATCAGTGGCTACCGATTCTACTCAACTCATTGGCTCCCGCATTTCTAGATGCCGCTTGTACCCAAAGCGGCTGAATCTGATCCGTCAAGCCATGCCGAAAGGCTGGTAAAAAAAAAAACCGTTTTACATAATGCCATCGAGTATTGAAGTCATTCGGCGCCGCCAACGAGCGCAGCCTTACCCGTGACCATTACCTTAGGGCTTTGGTACTACTTGAGCGTTGCCCGAAAACGACGGCTGAAAACTCTGAACCACTCCATCTTCTCAGACAGGCGCCTGGTTGCGACTTCGGCCCAGATCCGGGGGGCGGGCTTACCTGCTGCCTTACTGCTCTAGGCCTGGCGATGGCCGGGTTCTGATGTGGGTCGGCCGGCGTCGGCGAGTTGCGGCGGCGGCTGACCGGCGACGTCCGACCTACAGCTCCGAGATTTCAACCTCACGTATCGGCCCGAAACGGCGCCTCACTCGCTGCTTCGATGCAAGACGCGCAACAAAGGCTAGGTCGATCGTGAGCAATAAATTAAAAACTAACGTTGCGTCGGCAATACACGAAGCGGCTATAAGGGGCCCCCTAACGCCCGCGGGCTGTGCTCATCCATCATGAGACCGCTCGCGCAAAAGGATATAAACATGGCAGGGCAAACAGCGACAAAGGAAACGATGCGTCAAGATGGTAATGCGCCGGCGAGGGCTACCGTTCTGTCCTTCCCCAATCTTCCCGTCCATTCTTATGCAAACTACCCGAGTCGAGTATCCATCATCATATTCTCCATTTAATCTTGCTTTCCAGTAAGGTCGGCCTGGCTCCCTCCATTTCCTCCTCCGCGCAAAAAGGTGTGCCTCGTTCTCGAAGCAGTCGTCGTCGCAGGAACGTAATTCGTTGGCATGGGTCCGCTTGCTGGTAGAAAAAGAGATGACCGTCCGTCTCGCTCAAAGGGTTTCCGGGGGGGGGTAGTTCCAATTGCGCCGTTTGGCCGGTGAAGGCCGCAAGGCTGTTGACCTCGCCTCCAATCACTCCAACTTTTCCTCTCCAAACCCTTCCCCACAACATGAATATTATGCACAATCAATTAAAAAAGGCCATCACAGATCGTGTGCGGAAATCGGGTTTTTAGTCAACCCGCTGGTCGCGGTCGTGTCATGGCGATCCGTCGATATTCTTTGAGGTATTCACGAGAATCAAAATGCCCAAAAACCTCGCCAGGAAATCCCTGGTCGTGGCTCGCTCAGTAAAAGCGGATGATGGCAGTGCCGTCGCCGGACATGGCCGTCTAAACAATAGCAGTCAGCATACGTGAAATCGAAATATCGCGAGCGGGTGTTCAACTTACAGTACAGCCAGTGCCACCACCAGTGTAGGAGCCGTCGACGAGCGCGCACTTGCTGTTAACATCGCCAGTGATTTCAATGTTGAAGTCGAGCTTGGCGGTCGAGGTCGGGGCATTGTTGAAGATGGAGAGGTAGGTGTTGCCGTCGGCGCTCTTGCCAACACCAATGTTGACGGGAGCCCAGTTACCGGCAGCGAGGGGATCGGTGGCACTCTTCCAGACACAGGCATCCTCAACGGCGACGCCCTGGTTGTTGACGTAGTACTGGGCGGTGGTGGGGCTGTTGTTCCAGACGTAGTAGTCGGGAGAGTAAGGGTTGGTCAGCTCCAGCTTCTGGCCAGGCTCAGGCACGGTGGCGATGACCATGGCCTCGTTACCGGGGTAGTCGGTACGGCAAACGCAGGAAGACTTCTTGAGGTCGTTCTGGACGTAGACGCCGCCAGCGCCCTTCTCGCAAAGGGTCTTCTTGGAGGTGCGGGT